CTATCATAATTTTGTTCTAAAAAGAATATTAGTATTTTATATGTTATAAGATAAGAATATAAGAAAATACAAATTACTAGCTATCTGGTCATGGGTAATTTACAAACATTGAATCATTCTACCTAAAGCTTTGGAAATGTTTACCAAAATTAAGTTGTTATTTCTGAGTAGTGGTGTTTCTTTTTACTTTCCTTGAGCAAATCTATATTTTCTAACTTTTCCATAATCAGCATGGATTATTTATGTAATAATGAAATGATAGCATTATAGTTCTACTAAAATGGAAATTCATGTGAGGATGTGTACTCTTGGCACTATACAAACTCAGAGGAGGAGACATTTACCTCATGTGTTAAAAGATGACACAATAGCAATTGTGTGTGTATGGATGTATCTATAGATAAATATTAATACATTATACGTATAGTGTCTCAAGATTTAGAATAGTAAAAAAGCTTGAAATTAATAATGTCTTAAAATAACATAAAGATCTAAAACTGTTTAGAAGCCTAAATTTATAGGTAAATTTTTAAGTATTAGTAATGGCTTTTAGGAATTGAATAATTTAATAAACTAATTTTATTATAATTTTGGAAGGAGGATTCTTAAAGCACTTCTAATATGTTGATCATATTATGAAAAATGCACCACTTCCTTGGTTTGGATATAGATCTAAAAAATTTATATCTTTAGTTACTCTTTGTGATAGTATTATAATTATTTGTGGTAAGAGAAAATATGAGCATAATGGTACTCTTTTGTCAGTGTCCTGTTTTTTTGATTAACAATATATATGCCTGGTAAATTCTTTACTTGTTCCTTCTTTTCAAAGTGTCTAGTCTAAAACTATCATAATTCTTATTATGATAAACTATCATAATTACTATCATATTTCTTAAAGGCTAAAAGAATGCTCATTGTTACCATTATTTCAAAGTGCAATTTTAAGAAGTGTTATCCAGTGCTATTAGGGCTAAGATAGAAACAAATTATAATTATAATTTCTATAATTATGGAAAGGAGGAGGCAAAAATATCATAGTCATTAGAGGATATGCTTATATAATGCAAATGCCCACATCCAACTGAGACACGATTAGAAACAGTAAGGTTTATAACTCTAAGATAGTTATAAAACTGATATTAAAAAAATCAATGCTCCCCTATAATCAAGAAATCATCAGTTAGAAAATATGATGGAAGAAAAGATTTGATTTAACATAATAACTTAGAAAATAAAAATAGAAATACATACTTATTATTTAATTAGAAATATGTAGCGCATATAAGGCAAATACTTCTAAAATGTACTGAGATAAAAAAGATGATTGAGATAAGTAGAAAAACAAATCATTTCTTGGATATGTAAAGTCAATATAGTAAAATTAAAATTTTAGTCAAAATATCCACGGGAAATTTTTTGGAGCTGGACGAATGTTCCTAAATTATACCCAGAAAAAAAAAATCTGTAAACCTAATCATTAACATAGTAAAAAATAGGGATTGAAAGTACCCTTCATAGAGAATAAAATATTAGAAAACAGCAATATTTGAACTATTTCTATTGTCGCATGTCTAGAAAGAGGCCCAGATATATGTTGGAAATTTGTGTATCCTTACATTAATATTGCGCATCACAGAGGAAATTATAAACATACATCAATCAATAGTAATGAAAATATATAAGTAATTTGGAAAAAATAAAATTAATTCCAGATGATTCAAAGACTTAAGCATTAAAATAAAACCACACTAGCTGAGAAAAAAATGAGTTTTCCAATGTAGTTTTAGATTCAGGGAAGCCTAAGCATGACACAAGATCCAGAGCCATAAGTGAAAAGACCAGTAAATTTTCTTACATAAAAATTTAAAACATCCATATGATATGAATAAAAAAGTCAAAAGTACAAACCATACAAACTTTGAAAAAATTTCTAACACATAAGCCAAAGTTTAATTTTTTACAAATACAAAGGATTCTTAACAAATCAATAAAGAAAAGATACACAGTGAAATGGACATATGAGATGAAGACCTATTTGGTTTATTTACATAGAAAGAAACACGTGGTTGTTAACATACATTTTCTGAATAACTGTATCTTTCTTTACTTCACGACATTTGAATTTTGAAGTCTTACAATTTTAAAAGATAAAGAGGACAGTTAACGTGTTGGATTCTTTGAAGGAATTTGTCACTCATAGATTTAGCATGTACATCTCCCTTTTTCTTTGATAAATATGCCTAAAGGAAAAATTGACATGTCTACTTAATAAATTTGTGTTCTTTAAATCAGCTTGACTTTTTTCTTTCTTTCCTTTCTTCCTCCACCCACGCCTTCCTGCTTCTTTTTTTTTTTTTAAGTGCTTTGTAGTACAAATGATTTATGTGGTGCTAATAATAATATAGATATTTGTCTGTGGCTATGACCAATTATAAAGAGATAATCATTGATGATTTTGGTCTTGACTCTCTTACTTGGTAACTATGCAGCTAGCTCAAGGACCATGGCTTCTGTTTACTGAGAGCTCTGTGCTGTTTTCTGCAGCCCGCATGGACACGAAGCACACAGTCCTTCCATGTTAAGGGTAGCAGAACCATATTTCTGGAGAGCGTCCAGATGAAAAGTAAGCACAATCATGACAAGTGGGAACCCACCAACATTATTGCCAGTTACAAAAAACCCCAGCTTATTATTTGTCTTTAAATGCAGATACGATTCACTTTCAGAGTAAATCTTGGCATTAGCTCAAGTAGAAATTTTATGTGAGATCTGCAAGAGCTCTGTTTTGCTTTTTAAATTTTATTTACTTTTATTTTTTATTTTGCACTTTGATGAATATATAACTATGCAAACCACTTATGACTTTTTAACAAACTATTTCCAAACACATAGTCTACATTTGTATGGCATCAAATATGCAAGTATAAATGTGCATGCTATGAGAAAGACACTCTGTGTTTCAGCAAAAAAAGATACAGCTAATAAAACAGGCCACTGGTATATTGCTGGTTCCTCTTTTCTTCCAAGGGTTTGACCATCAAGGTAATCAGATCTTCTGTCTGTAGAAAATATTTTCTTTTATTTCTTCTATAAAAATGTGACATTTTTCTTCTTGAGAGTTTGCTGCTTCTGTTTTTTCCTCCTTAGCATCATAGACAATATTAGGATGTAGAATACAACCACAAATTTCCCTAAGCTTGTGCTGATTTTTGGTGAAAGGATGTTAGGTTTTGTTTTATGCTTTGGATTTCAGTAGGCTAACTCATAAATTTTGAATGCATTTGTTTTATGAACAATAAAAATAATATAAATAATGCTTTCTGTAGTCACTTAACCAAAATATTGCTAGGATAAGATTCTATCCATTAAAATTATAATAAAGATATTTGGATGGAAAATATAATGCTTTGAATAAAACATGACAAAAAATATGTACTTGTGGTTGAAAACACATTCAACTGTGATCCTAAATTTTAATGGGCTTGTTTCTTGGCAATAATAAAAATGTTTTCAAGAAAACAAGTTAAATTATTTTATCTTATACTTTAGATTATTCATATTCATACTAAATTCCAGTGTTAAAAAATGAAAACAACTTCAGTGTAATTTTCTTGAAATTTCATGTTTTATTTTTAATAAGATTTAAATAACTATAAAATAATACACAGAAACAGGCTTCAAATATATTTTATATACTGAAGAAAGATTAATAATAATATGTAGTATAGTTTCTCTTTCTCAATTGTGGTTTTGAAAGAGAATTAGCACTGATGCTGGAAGACATCTTTTGTATGAAATAATCAACTTATCTTTCCTAGGCATTATCCTTGAAAGAACTGAGAAAATAATCACTCATATTGTTTCCTGTAACCTGTGGTTCAAATGAAGTTGACTATATACATGTATCACATACCGCATAAATACACACTTCGCACCAGATATGCAAATTCCATGTATCTATAAGTATATATATCAATATATAAACACATGCCTATCCTTTATTCTATATGCAATTGGTGTGTGTATTTAATAGACTAAGGGGACAGAATAGTCATTGTTTAAGTAAAAATATTAGTACGGTGGTAGTTTGGGGACCTAACAGAAATGTATTAATTGATTTTGAGCAATAGAAGGAGAGCATACACAGAGAGAGCACCTGCATGACACACTCGCTCAAGATAACATCTGCGTCTGGAATTAATTACGTACTGACTAGCCACGTTATTTTCAGCCAGCTTAAAAATACCTTGAATACATGGTGGAATATAAAGCTTATTGGCTCGTTGACTGCAGCTAAGAATTATCCATGCACACTGGCATTGTCTCTGAAGGGCCGCGACTGGTGCCTTGCGGGTGGGTGGTGGGCGCCACTGGGCAGCTGGGTGCCGCAGGTGGGGTGCCGCAGGTGGGGTGCCGCAGGTGGGGCGCCGGCCGCTCCCCTGCTGTTTGGGGGATTTGACGGTGCTGTCTGCAGCGAGGAGGGCAGGAACAGATGAGGTTGCGATCTCTAGGCTGTCTGTGAAATTGTGTATAAAAACTAAAATAATCACCTGCTCCATTGGCCAAAACAGTTCTGTCTTCCAAATCAGTCATTAAAAAACTCCTCACAAAACAAATATTTTATAATACACTAAAAGTGAATCATCTAAGCATTTGACTTTAGCACTAGATTTTAGAAGCTGTGGGGGTTTTAGATGTTATAGGATATTCAGAAACATGTGTGCCAATCCAATTAGCTGACTTTCCCTATATTTAGACATTCCATAATAATTTAAATTTGAAAGACATTTTAAATGTATTTACCAGAAAAAATGTATAATTTTCATTTGCCAGAGTGCTCTTTCTGAGGCTTTCAAAGTTGCTAAAAGGTAATTTTCTTTAACTTGTTTTATTGTTCAAATCCAATTTATTTCTGCCACCTGTTATTTCTCTCCCTGGATTTTTCAGAAGTCATTTTTGGACCATTTTATGGCACTATAATAAGAGTGTCACTTCCTATGGTGTAATTGACTCTCGGTTTGACAGTTCCCCTAATACACAATGAAAGTCCACTGAGTGCCAATAGCTGTGATATTTATTTTTCCAAGGAAGATGCTTAAGCCTGAGTGTTCAAAACTCTCCATCCTTTTGTTTAGAAATATGTTTCTTTGTTACCAGGACTATGTTGATAATTTTCCTTTCAGAGGATATACTGCACAAGAGCAAGAATTTCACCCTTGGGTTTTTAATGCTGTTTTAGGGGCATTTTAGGATAATTTAATAAATATAAATTATTTCTGAAAAGCCTTTTGTGACAAACTAATGTTTTAATATACCTTTTTGAATGGAAAAATATAAATTTCTAAATTTAGTGAATCATGTCATAAATATTTTTCTGCTGTATAAAGTGCTATATATAGCAAAATTGTTGAAATATTTGCAGAATCTGTTTCTAATTCTGGAATTATTTGTTTTTTCTTGTTTTTTTCAGTCTCCTGAACAACAACCAAATCAGCAAGATTTCCAGAAATGCTTTTGAAGGACTTGAAAATTTGCTATATTTGTAAGTTGTAAGAAAACCCAACAATGGCTTATGATGATGATTATTTTTGCCTTTTTGTTTGAACTAAAGTAAATCTTCACTTTCTTAAAAAGCACTGTCAATCATTACCAAAACTCATATATGAACACTTCTAGGTGTAGTAAATTATTGTTTTCAATAAATTGCACATCTGAAAACATTTCAATATTTATGCACATTTATATTCCCCAACCCCACAAAAATTCTAAATTGGAGAAAAATAAAAACAAAGCAAAATTCTATAACATTTCACATTCAAATCTAATTAGTCAATAAGTGTTAAAAAACATCCATACCTAAAAAAGAAGCTTTATATTAACAACTCAGTCATCCAAGCCCTTCTGAGGCCAGTGAACACATTACAACTAGGAATTTTAATAAACTTTGGTAAGAACCAAATTTTGGAAAAATTAGCTTACAAATATGACCATTGACAATAGTATGCTTTTATATATTGTTAGTAAATGGAAATAGAGGCATTTTAAACAACTGCCTGTTTTGACTCAGAAGCCAATGCATGTTGATAAATTAAATGTCGGGAGGTCACTGTTGGATAAGGTTATGTTGGAGGCTGAAGAAAGAAACTACAAGGACATTTGTTTCATCTAGGAGTGAGTGCTGCAACTTTCTTTTCAAAGAACATTAAGGAGGTAACTAAGTTTTTTGCACAAATATGTCCATATGAAATGCATTAAGCACTCTGCTCAAAAATTTAAATTTATTCTTTTAAAGAGAAGATGCTATTCCAACATTTTGCTGTGATCTAATTTACACCACTGTAGCATCTTCCTAAAGCACTAGAATTCCTATTATACCCAAACCCAAGAGCCTCACAGCTTGTGTGTTCAGCCAAGACACCCCAGCCAGACACACAGGGCCCCCACAGCTCTTCACATCAGTCAGTCCTGAGCTATTGGTTCCCTCTTAGAACCAGTCCGTTCTGTCTGCTGTCCTAATCATTCATAAACAATCTAGCGTGTTTCCTAGTCAGTTTTCTGCTGCTGTAACAGAATACCACAGACTGGGGAATCAATAAAGAAAAGAAGTGTATTTGGCTCCTGGCTCTGCAGGCTGGGAAGTCCAAGATGGAGGTGGGTGCTGCGTCTGGTGCGGACCCTCTTGCTGTATCATAGCATAGTGGGAGGCCAAGCGAGCATGCAAAACATGGGGTAAAAAGGGTGAGACTCCTGCGATAAGCAACCTGCTCCCACAGTAATGGCATCAGTCCATTCCTGTGGGCAGAGCCCTCACGATTAATTACCTCTTAAAGGTCCCACCTCTTAACACCATCACAATGGCAATTAAATTTCAACAGGAATATTGGAAGGAACATTCAAACCATAGCAAATGCCAGGCAGGTCCATGTTGTTCTTCATTTCTATGCTTTACACATTGCTAGGGCTTCTTCAAGCTTCCAGACTGGTGGCGTGAAAAGTCTGCTCCTTGTTAGTGAGGAAGCTTGACCTTCTTTCTGTGTTTCATCTGAAACCTGCTCTGTGGTTCTCTGCTCATTGGCACAGCAAAGAGCAATTCCCTTACAGTAAAACAAACAGATTAATAAAAACAAACACCTTTTCGACTTTGCAAATAATGTCTTAGAAGCAATCTTATCACTAGTGCTAATATTTAATTAGTAAGTCTATTAAAATGCATTATTAGCAGGGAATTAATTTTGGATGATGAATATCCAACATTCTTGAGGCTAGATCAATTACATGCACAAGTGCACTATTTGTTCTGGGTGAGAACAAGAAAAGCATTTCACAAAACTTCTAATTGATGCACTGGCCAGTTAAAATACTGCTTATTAAATGAAAGACAAGAATCTCTGCACTTCTGAAAGTTATGTGACTTAGCAGAAGACAAGGATAATTTGTGAATGTTGTATTAAGTAGTAGGTGGTGAATACACTCATGTAGCCACCTCATGAAATCTTTCCATGTTTTCTTCTTTTTTTTTTCTGAGTCCATGAAAATGCCATCCATGTTTTCAATGACAATGCCAAAGCACTGCCCCCCAGACCAGGGAAATCTATAGAGGAGAAAAGTGTTGTGGGCTAGAAGACCCATTTATTTGGCTCATATGATACCTACAAACTCATCTCCTGTCTATCTTTCTTTTGCTTTGTGTACTTGATCCATTGTTAATTCTTCAAACACAGTGAGTGCCCATCCCCCACCCCACTCTGAACCCATCCTGCTTGTTGTTTTTCCCTTGGCTATTTTTTTCTATCTTGTTATAGCTTTAATGTCATTGTTTCTAGGAATCACCTTAAGTCAACTCATACCTTCTTTTCCCCCATCATGCTGCTCTGTTTATTTCATACATCATAAAACTTCACTTTTTCTCATCTACTTGTTAACTTGTTTATTTTCTGATTCTCCCCCCAGATTCTGTGCAGGCATGTGGCTGTGCTCTCCTTCCTTACCGCATTCCAGCATCTAGAATGAACTTTTAAAACATAGTAACTGCTCATTAAATATTTGTTCAACAAATGCATGATATTTGATTAATACTTTTAGTTATGCTGAGTTAATTATTCTTAAGACAGGAATGATAACACTAAAATGCCATTGTTTTTTCAGCAACTTGTATTTATCAATTATTAACAGTATGCCTTTTCCCAAGGATTTCAAGTGTATATATTACCTAATGTAGTTATAGTGTTTGTATATTCAGGAAGTTAGTTTTTATTTAGACTAAATATACCATAGAACTGCAATTTTACCCTGGAAAGCACAAATGGTAGCATATCTCTTCCTCTAAAACAAAAGCATTTCTGAACTTATCTGAAATTCCAATGTGTTTTGATCCAAAACATACCATTGATTCCCTTGGGCAAAAACAAATTGAAATGTCTTTGGACCAATTTGGCTTTCAGATGTACAAGAAAAAGTACGCTTGTTTGAGAATATCCTTGGGAACTGTGATTCATTTGTTAGCTGAATTTTAGAGCTAAGATACATTGAAGAACTGAGAGCAAAGTGCTCCTCCTCTGTAGTTTGGCAGACCAGCAGTTAACTCTTAAGAACAGCATTTTCGGTATTCATTATTTTCAGCCAAGTTTGAGTTAATTTAATGATAAACTCCAAAATAAAATTTATTTATTCAGAAACATCTTGGCATCTGCGTGATAATGATCGTGTTACTTATGGGCATTGATAATTGAACACGTTTTGAATTATCTACAGGGCAAAAACTGTTGCATATCTGTGCACATTTGCGATAACTTGGACATTGTTTCCTAGGATTTAAAGAGGAAATTTATTCCACATTCACATCTGTGATTCCACTTCTGGTCATGCTTCCCATTTTCTAAGTTTAGTTTGTTCTCTGAATTGTAGCTAATTGTTCCTGCTAGCCCAGCCCGGGCACCTCTGTCCTTATGAACTCCCTTACCGAACGCTGCTCCCTCTGCACAGACGCACCTGCTTAGATCACTGGCTGCTTTTGTCACTTGCAGTTGTCCCCTCAGCGCTGGCTTTTCCCATCTCTCTGCAGTCTCTTTGAATTTACTGGGAATCTTGCTCCATTCTTTTTGCAATCCATAGATGAAAAGATATTCACTGTTTTTGAAATATTGGGCAAGTAAGTGTCATTGAAGAATCTTACATTTAATAGTGTAACCTTGAGGGACATGACTCTCATGACTTCTGGCTACTCTCACTCCCTGAATTTTAATGATAATCTTTACAAAGGGAATGCAATTTCCATATGGTTTTTTGTTCATTCTCTCAGTTAGCTTTTGCTATGTAACAAACCACTGCAGAACTTAGTGGCTTAAAGCAGTGAAGAGTTACTATTTCACATGATCGAATCGTGGGTGGACCGGGCAGATTTTCTGGTCTCCAGTGGCTTCACTCCCGTGTCTGGCAATTGCTCAGTATCAGCTGGGATGCCATTTTCCTCCGTGTGGCCTTTCTTCCTCTAGCCAGCTAGACTGTGCTTGTTCACACCATCTTATCCCTGGCATAGTCAGGGATGAGTGCTATTCAAGCCTTGCTAGTGTCACATTTGCTAGTGTCCCGTTTGGCCAGTGCAGCCACATGGACAAGATGTGATTCAGCTTTGGAGAAACAGGCTGCGCATCTCGAGGGCGAAGCGGCTCAGTCACCTTGCAGAGGGATGCGAGTCAGGGGCAGGGGAACTCTGTGCCATTTCCGCAATCTACCACATTCACACAGGACTGGGGGTCCAAGAGTGGCACCCAGATCTCAATCGCTGTCAAGCACATCCCGGGCCAGCCACCAGGCTGGACCTATGCAGCGGGCGCCGCCGGGGCTCAGAGAGAAGAGGTCGTGTCTCTGCGGGGAGCCACGGGGTGGGGAGCAGGTTAGACTTGATGGAACAGGAAGTAGGACATGTGACAAAGGGCAGGAAATGGTCTCATGTGTGTGAGTGATGGCGAGTATCTCCTAAGGACTGGGCTGCGGGGCCTGCGTGGAGCATGACGAGAAGTAAAGCTGGCGAGTTTTGCAAGGGCCACATGATGGGGCGGAGGGTGTGCGGCAAGCTCCCCGTCTCCACGCTCTCCTGCTTGCACACACTCCAGACCAGCCTCCGTGCCCCACTCCGCCGCGAGCTGTGTGAGGAAGCCACGCAGGTCCTGGATGCACTGGCCGTCCCGGTGCACACCGCGTCCTGGCTCCTTCGTCAGCCGGCCGCTGGCTCTGCTGGTGCTGCCCGAGCCGCGTCCCTGGTTTCCCTCCTGCTGACCTGCCTGCGACACCCTTGGCCAGCCCCACTCCGCTCCGTTCTTTGCACACTTTGCACCCCTGTGGGTGAGCGTATGTGCGCGGTGCCAGTCATCACCCAGATGCTGCTGGCTCTCGCATCTTTATTTCCAGCCCAGATTGCTTTTCTGTTTCCAAATCCACACAGACCTGATCGCTTGCTCCATGTTTCCACGGACATTTCCCACAGGAGCTTCAAGTTGAACATGACTAAATGTGCCTCATTATCTTTCTCCCTGCAAACACGCT